CACCATTACAATCTTCACGAGTCATGATAAAACACAAATTATGTTGATTTAAAAGATGTGATTTTTCAAATGCAATAGAGATATTAATTTGAGACGTTACATCGAAATTTTCAGACAAGAATGATAAAGATGTTGGTGCTGTTGGTAATAATACATTTGTAGATATTATGTTTGTGGGCATACATGTTGTAGGTAGAGTAATTGGTCGAGGTTCGAGATAAATAATAGTTGAAAAAAATTCAGATGTATGTCGATTTTCAGATTGTAATGGTGGTCTTATATGCTAGTGGTGCTGATACATTCGGAGAACTTTTACCTGAAATTGATTGAAAATGGCGAAGTTCATCGTTTTCTTCTATAAGATTATTATGTACAGCATGACAACATTCAAGTGCTGCGTTCACTTTATGTAAAGCCTCTTTTAAATAATGAATATGATCGGCATAGGCTAATGTATTATTGTGATGACGTGATGCTGTTTTAGCATGTAGTGAAGTATAAGTTTCTTGCAGACGTTGCATGTACGGTGGTGAAGTTGATTGGATAAATATTATCGTATTGATAGATAACATGCAGAATTTGTTTGAGGATATGAAATACGGTAATGTTTTGGCGAATTAACGACTGATTTAAATTAATGGATTTGATTAGCAAGATCACGTAGAATTTTATGTACAGAAGATGAACTTTAGGGTTTGTATTACATACATGCTCATCATTCATAGCTTTGGCGACGAAAGAAACTTTTTCAAATAAAACCGGATTAAAGTGTATGCTAATTGACTCAAGTGAGACTCTTAGAATAGGTGATTGATTAAATATCGAGTTGAATTATGAATCATTAATATCATGATTAATAGCAAGCTAATCTTGTACAGGATTATCACCTGTAGACATATTAGATGCTTGCGAATCAATGGAACAACAACGAAAACAATGTACGAACAGTGTAATTGTTAAATTGGTGATTATGTATTTAAATACATATATTTTAAATTATCTTGTAGTGAAATAGTAAATGTCTATTAATTGTTTTCAAGCCAGAAGACGTTAATTAATCATTGAGTGATAACTTCTTGGGCTTTCATCATATAACCGTAATAGAAATAAAAAGTCTAAAATGTTCTGGTAAAAGTGTATCTATCTCACCATTTTCTGAATGAATATAGTTTACTGAAAAATGAATGGAAATATATTAGAAAAAACAACGTCCTATTCCACAAAGAATATTAAACATGCTGTACAGAACAACAAAAAATAAATTGAAGAAAGAATTACTTATTCATTTGTATAAAACCATCAAACATTAATCTATCCACAAAGTCTAATGGAATTATTTTTGATGAATCTATGCCGTCTACGATATCGAAATCATTGAACCAGAAAAACTGGCACATCCTCATTCTTGTGGTGTTTCGTAGCAGCGAAAGTTTCATTATTTAAGCGAGATCAATAAACATTTCTCATTACTCTCTCTTAACATGAACAAACAAGTTTATGAAAAAGTAAAAATATTTAAAAAAAAGATAATAAGAGAAGAGGGTCGAAAATGGTCAAAAAATTGATCATGAGATTTCAGAACGATCCATAGGAGTCGTTCGGAAATCACGCAATCACTTAGACGTAAGTAAAGTTAGCATCAGATTCGAGTTTTTTTGGGGAAATATTGGCCTACAAACTGCACCATGGGGGCCACAAGCTGGTGATCTCTATGCCGGTCGCAAGTCCGGAAAAAGGAGGAGCGTTAGACGGAAGAGGTGCAGATACTGCCGTCTGTAAAAACCAAAGACGAAAGAAACCAACCATGTGCGATCGATATAAAAAAATCATACCGGCTCGGACGTCGCTCGGGCGAACAAGGTCCGCGTCCTTTGTCGAGGAACCATAACAGAGTCGAAAAACTGACTACTGGAACAACTGCAACTGCAACCGTAATCACAACTATAACAACAACAACTCCAATAGCACCTTCAATGGCGACAACGGGAATTACAAGGAAAGCAGCAATTATGGCAACAACAGCTACCAAATACGAGACAAAGACTGAAAATGACGAAAGACATTTTTACCGTTGGAACTGGAAATGTTCAAACACTGTGGGCAGCTGGAAAACTCGAACTATTAAGAAATGAAATGAAGCGATATAGATACGATGTTATCGGCATCTCAGAAGTACGTTGGACAGGCAGAGGAGAAATATCAAACGGTGACTTCATTTGGTCGGGAGAAAACAGCACACACACGAGAGGTGTTGGAATGCTATTGAGTACAAAAGCCAAAAAATCACTATTGTGCTACAATCCAATCAACTCACGGATAATTACTGCAAGATTCAATGCAACGCCATTCAATGTAACAATAATTCATGTATATGCTCCAACTGGTGATTGGAATGCAAAAGTGGGAACTGCCCTGCCAAGTGAATAATGGGAAAATGGTCATTAAAATGCATCGTTTTTTGAGAATAATGGTAAAATAACCATTAAAATGCGTTTCGATTCAAAAATGATCCATTTTGACCATTTCATAAACACGGACTTTAGTTTTTTGGAGTTTCAAACTGACTTAACCCTCGAAAGTTTCCTCATTTTATCACATGAAGGTTTTATGTGGGTCCACGCGGACCCAGATATAGATCAGTAAGAAAAATTTGATTTTTGTTGTCTTTTTTAAATCAGATATGAAGGCATTGAGATCTCTAGTATGTTTTTTTGAAGTACATATACATTAATATAGATCGTGTTGTATGGAAATATTTGCTATGTAAAAAGCTTATTAAGAAGAAATGACAAAATTGCGATACTAAAATAATATTCAACATTCTATAGACATCACAGCAGCACTAACAAGTGAATATCTTCAAATCTATCGATATATAAATAGTCACTCGTATTAGAAATAAGAAAAATCTGTTTCTGACTTAGTTTTTTGTTTGAAAATGGATAAAATAAAATACAATAAAAACAACATCACGTGTAAACTATTTTCGATGTTCCTACAAAGTTCTGTCACTCGTTTGTACATCAAATTTTATATTGTTGAATAGTTCTTTTCACATGGCTGACAGACAACTGTTGTGGTACTAGTGGAATGAGATTTACAAACATTTTGTTTGCACATGTCACAAACTTGTTGAACTTTTCGACCCGGATGAGTAGGACAAATATAACATCGTTTTTTCTATTCATAAAACCATTGGCATGTTCTTGAACAATTGAAACCTTAGGTTTTAATCAAGGGGGAACAAACTGATTTCAAAAGATGAAATCAATTTGAAATCACGTGAAATCACATGAAATCAACGAAATCACAGGAAATCAACGAAATCACATGAAATCACTTGAAATCATTAGAAATCATTCCTGTTGTATGTTTATCAAATTCTCAGCATTTTTGATATTCAATGAAAAAAAAAGAATAATATTAAGTTCTAATATAGTTTCTGTTGACTTTATCGCAAAAACGAATCGTGCTACAGACAAGTTCTGAGACTTTTATTCATGAGACACAGATTATAGCCGTTTTACATTGAAATTCATAATTGTATAAAACAGTTCATGAAGGTATAGATGGAAATGATTATATACACTAGCAAACGATCAAAAACAGATTTCTTGATTGCTTTGATTTCTAGTGATTTCTCAGATTTCTAGTGATTTGGATCACTGCCGATCAGTTATTATCTGTTCACCACGAGTCAAGAGTTATCATAGGAAGTAGGGTTGTCGATTGTCTTGAAAAGTAAGAGGGGCTAAAAATTCGGCAAAAAGTGCCTCATTTGACCTTCCGGCAGAACCTATTGGAAATTTTCTAAAGTCGGACATGTTTTCAATTTTTGGCGGAGGTCAGATCCCCATCAGCCTCCCATAATCGGCAGGCCGGCTAGGAAATACTTACAAGTAAGGAAAAACCATGCGCAGTCATTATAAATCAGGATTAACCACTACGAATATTGGCAATTATTCAAAGGCAAGAAAAATCAACAAAAATGATTAGAAATCAGAGTTTTACTTTGAATATTATTAATGAAGGTTTTCTGTGATTTAGAGTGATTTCCATTAATTTCTAATGATTTCTCATGATTTCTAATGGCTTTCGATGGTCTGTAATAGATGTAACGACTTTCAGTCATTACTCTGATGCTTAAGGCATTGAAATGATTTCTGTTGTTTTATAGTGATTTCGATTGATTTCTAATAATCACTCATGGTTCCTAATGGTGTCCAATAACTTTAAACCACTTTCAGTCATTATTCCTATGCTTAAGGTATCAAAATGATTTCTGATGATTTCTCATAGTATCCAATGAGTTTTGATGATTTTCGATAATTTTAAACCACTTTTAGTCATTATTCGTATTTTCAAGCCGTTAAAATGATTACTGATGACTTTCCGGCATTTACAGTGATTTACATTGCTTTCTACTGATTTCTAGCGTGGGAAAGAGTTTGTGCCCCGTTGTACACAAGTGAAATGTGATTTGATATCCTTCGGTCATGGTTCATCCTTGATATCTAAGAACATATTGTCTACTGTTTCATTTTCGGTATTCTCTTTCTCATTTAACTCACCAAAGGATATATGTTTCCGTTTCTGTTACTTTCTATCTTCGGGCTCCTCAAGGATCCTTTTGCTTTTGCCAGTCCATTTTTTCTAGATTTCTTGATTTTCTCTTCTCAGGTGAAAGATGTACGAAAGGGAACGACTATTTGTCATGAATTTGTAGCGAAGTTCTGAGGCTGGATTTCTAAATCGGTTCCGCTAGATCCCATCAATTTCTGCAACCGGAAACGATGTTTGGATATGATCACTCGTTTCCGATGAGATTGCCCTCTACGGTTCGCGTGGTTTAGTCAAGACGACAAGATATGTTCCATACACTGACGCTTCCACTCCGACGGCCTAGCGATGACCTGATCTTTTTATGATGGGCTGTAGCGTGCAGATCCAGCAATGGGATATGACGGCAGATTGCTGTTCTTAACCTATTTTCTTTTTAGCATTATTATGGTATCAGATTCCATTCCATAAATCAAAGATTCTTATCGAAAGTAGATCTCCTATCCTAAGAGTTTTCTTGTGACGTTCTCGTGTAAAAACACTGGCAAAAATAATCAGAGAAAAGATTATAATCGATTAAAAGTGTATAATAAGTTCTTAAAAGACATATTATAATTCACTTTTTCCGAACGGATTATTGTATCAAAGAATGATGAGATTCTTTGCATGCAGAGATTCAGCAGCCAATTTATTTACATCTACATATGACGGCTCGATTGAGTTCAATTCAGAATCAGCCTTGTGCAGAGAGGCACAAAGTAAGACCCTTGGCAAAGCTATGCAATATTCATAATGATACATCCGTGATGTCATCCTTGAAAATCAGCGAAACGCTTACACTGGAACATTTGTTAGTGCGCAGATACACCTGGTATAGATGGGGATTAAAAACATGCGAATCGCAATCTATGCAGGCAATCGGAATCCGCGAAAAGACTTACTAAATATTTTTCTAACGAAAAAGTAACTGGAAATGACAGTGCCATTAAAATTCACAAGCCTATTAAATTAT